CTAGGGTTTACATCCTGCAAGTCCTTGGCCTTGGGGGCTCTGGGTGCTCTTGACTCCTGGAGCTCGTGGGGCTCACGCACTTCCCCAGTGATGTTGAGTGATTTCCTGGCCCTGCACAGCACCACCCAATGAGCTCCTGTCCACTGTCCTAGGACTGTACATGCAGGAGGTTTGGCTCCAGGCCCAGGGCATTTGGTTAGTAAAGCAGGGAGTGATAGATGTGGGGACCCAGGGATGGGGTGGGCACCACAGCCAGGCAGGGGCATCTGTAGCTGTCGCCAGTTGGAGGAGCCACATGCAGCAGAGATGAAGGACCACTGGCCTGTGTTTCCCAGTCCTGTCCACTGATTGTGGTAAATCCAGTCTGCTAGTAAAGATAGCAGGGACACAGAGTCTATGCCCGGAATCCCCTAGGCTGAAAGTTGCCCATCAGGGCCCTACCTGCCAGGACTCCTGCCTGTGATGCCTCAGGCACAAAGTCTCAGCCACTACTAGGTTCATGGTGACCCCAACTTGGAGGCATCCTCAGTAGGCTCTATTGCTGTCAGGGACTCTGGTCTGTGGCTGTGGGCCATGCTGAAACATGCCTTCCAGGAGTCTCACCAACGGACAGGACTCTGTGGCCCTGTGACGGGCTGTAGCCTTGAGGCTGTGTGGCTCTACTCCTGGGGTTGGTAGAGTGTGGAAGCTTGGCCAGCTTGCCAGTGTCCATACTGGTGGTCATGTCTGGGTGGGATAGGGATCTAGAAGAACCTCCTGAGAGGGCAGAGGCTAACTCCCTGTTTGGGAAGCCCCAGACCGAGCTCCTCACTGAGAAGACAATGTCTTCCAGACTGGTTGGGTCCCCACCTGAGGTTGAGTCTAGGAGAGGAGTAGCTCTGGCCATAGGAGTCACCATGAAAAAGCCTGGCTTGTGTCTGAAATAGGTATAGAGCCTGATGACCTGTCTCATACCCCAACCAAGTGGGTGTTGTGCTGGTATACCCGTGCTGGGATGTCACCCCAACCTGTCAGTGGCCCATGTTCAGATCTGGGTGACCCCTGACCTGGGATGCAGACAGGTCCTCATGGGGAATGTATGTGGTGCAGACCCCATGGTAGGGGAAGGCTGCTCAGGTGGTGCCTGGGGATAGAAAGCCTCAGTTTCCCCATTCATTAGTGGCTAAGCCCCTGCTGAAATAAACATCCAGAAAGGTGTAGTTGGATAAAACATTCCAGCTGTCCCTGGGCTCACCAGTTCCCTCTCCCCTTGAAGATATGGTTATGACTCACACAGTCTCTGAGTTAGGACCATCCACTTCTCCTTGGTTACTGGCCAGTGGTGCAGGCTCTGTGTCCTGGGTGGCCCTAGGGGTGGCCCTGGGTGGGTCCTCTGGGCACGTGTGTGTGGAGGCTTAAACTGCCTGCTGCTGTGTTGTAGTGACAACATGTCTGGGGATGCAAAGGTTCGGGGCACCTGCCAGGCAGGTCTGGAGACAGTGTGAACAATCTGGCATAGGGCCTTCTTTCCCGTGAGCAGCAGGGTTCCTACCCCTACTGTGCCTCTCAGCCTGGAAGGCTATGAGAAGCTCCAGGGTGGGTAGGGTTGTCAGTGCTGGGCAAGCCTTTGTCCCTTCATTGCCTCTCCCTGGGAGGAAAGGGCTGTAGGGTGAAAGTGGTCATGGCAGCTGTCCCTCAGCACCCACAGGCAGACGGAAATAGTTGTTCCTGAAAATCATTATGGACAAATTACAGGCCCTGGAGCGAAGCCCCAGGCCACAGTGGGCTGAGGGCTTCAGTGGGTGTCAGGTTCCCTGCTGCTGGCTGGCTAGATTGCCTTTCCTGATGGAGGCAACACAAATTTAAAATTTAAAAGTAAATAGTAATTTCTTCTCAGGATGAAGATAGATGAGGGCATGGGGTTGTTTGGGTTGATATCATGGTCATACCAAGAGGATGCGTGGTGGGTGCATCCATGGCACCCAGGCTCTCAAGAAGGGCGGCCACACAGCCCAGGCAGGAGACTGAGCAGCACCACTTCCTTGAGTTCATCCTGGGGCCTCCTGGAGGCTGGGAGCCCCGTCCACAAGCTTGCTGGCCTTACCACAGAGAAGAAATGTCTGTGACCTTTAATGCAGGGAGCCGCTTGCATTGACAGCCAGTCAGGTATCAGTTGGCCACCTTCCTGGTTAGCGTTCAGTTGGGATGGTGGCAGCAAGCTTGTTAAACTTTTAAGAGGTTCATCTCTGTCTCAAGGGTAGATTCACAGCCAAGAGATGCTTAAGTCTATGTCCTAAGGGGAGAATTAGTTTTCCTTTTTGTACCTGGGAAATGCTATTTACTTTTTAACTTTGTTTTTGTCCTTCCACAGATGAGAGAGGTTAGGCTCGCTGGGGTGGTGTGCAGGTCTCTGGGCTGTGGCTCTTGTGTCCCCTCCTCAGGCAGGTAGTGGGTTTGCAGGGTGGTGTGTGTAGCTAGAGTAGGGTCAGGTGACCAGCTGGGCACATCCTCAATCTCTGCCCCAATGCCGGGTCTCAGGACTGCTCCTGCCTGGGCAGTCTTTTGGTGGACCATTAGATGGCCAGTGTGCTGGGCGGCAATGTGTTCGTTTTTGAGGAAGGGCTTTATCTGGAACAAATAAATGTAGGGCCAAGTAAGTGACAGGTAAGTCCCGCAGGGCTCTTATCAGATGGGTTAAATCCTAACTATATGGGGCTGTAAAACCTTCCGTCCCTCAGGCACAGGCTTCACAGCCACCTTCCCAGGAGCTACTGTCTAAGCTACTGTGTATGGCTCCTTGGTGACTTAGGACCTGACTCAGGGTAGTCCTGTAGGGATGGAGAGCAGTCATCCCCTTTCACTCAGAGGTGGCACCCCCAACAGGGATGCTGACCATCATTGTTGGCCATTCACTTTTCTCCATCTGTCCTTTCCTGCCCTGGGCCTGAGCACCCACAAAGTTTCTGTACACCGCAAATGTGAAGCCCACAAAGGCCCCTTGGACCACTGTGGCCCAGGGAGCTGTTCCAGGCTGCTCTAGCTGTGCCCAGAGGTCTTTGGGGGAAAGTGAGGAGGTAAGGGTGTTAGGCCTGCAGGATGAAAGTGTGGCTAGAGGGGAGCCTTGCAGGGCTGGATGGGGGTACTGCCCTGGGGCTCAGAACTGTCATGTATGCACTTATGGAACTTCTCATCCTACCATCTGCATTTCTGAGACCCATACTTTTGGAATGGAAAACAGGAGAGCACATGGAACAGGAGGTGACTTGTAAAGCTGTGGCTACCACCTAGACACATGGGTATGGCCTTGGTGGTGATTGTTTTGCATGTCCAGCCCAACTCTGGTCAGTGAGAAGGCCCAGGAGCACCCCAGTACTCAAACTAGGAATCTTCTCTGGGGCCTGTTATAACGTGGGCCCCGGTATAAAGTCCAAGGAAACAAGAGTCCAAAACTTAAGTAGCAAAGGCTTTATTGAGCCAGTCATGGCGGCACAGTCTCTCCTGGATCGACCCAAAGACTGTGCGCCCAAGACTGGGGAAAGGGGTTTTTAAAAGTAAGGGAAAGTGGGGGGAAACCTGTAAGGCTATTAAACCTGTTGACCTGCATCTGGAAACTGTATTGCTGTCCACTTAGCTCTGACAGTCTCGGGAGTTCCTGGTGTTGCTCAAATTACTCCCATCCTGCAGACTGACGTTATCTCAGAGTGTCACGTCTGCAGCAATATTTGGAGAAGAAAGTGGAGAGTTAATTATCCCAGGACAGCTTGTCTTCGCTAGTGAGTGCGAAGGGGTCACGAGTTATGAGATGCTGGAACTTAAGTTTTACAAAGATCTGATATCTAACCCATTTGATACATACAGAACACAAGGAAAGCACCGATCGGGGTTTGGGCCATAGTATTACCTGGTAATTTCTCTTAAGCTAAGCAGTTCTTAAAATTGGGGCCGGCTCATTTTATGACAGATCATCACCAGGTCGTGGAGAGGTCACCAGAAACCCAAATTCTTTATGGCCCAGATAGCTGGGTGGGGGGAGGCAATAAGGCGAGCTACAGAACAGGAAAACGGCGAGTATCTATCTTGTGGGAAAAGTAACTAAGGTTAGGTAAAAAGGTTAAACTCATAGGCAAATCTCCTTGCATATAAACAAGTTACTTCAAACAATGTGTAAATCAGTGGGCCTTCTAGTCTTCTTTAGTTCATTAGCGAAGAATAGAGGCGCCTAACCATGATTAACAACCCTTGTTAGCTTGTTTTAGCACCACTCTTCTTGTTTGTAGAGGGCCGCTCTGGTTAACATCTCAATTAAGTGAAATTCTTGCAATTCTTTACAGGGGAGAGTATTGCTCAACATATCAATTGGGTCACTTAACATATCAGTTAGGGAAAAAAAAACATTTAGTAAGCCACCGTACAGGTTTGCTATAATACACAAAATGATGAAGCTACTTTCTTAGAGTACAACAGGGCCTTTGCCCAAACGTGAGCCTCTTGCATCAGAAATGTGAGGGCCTTGTTCTGGTCAGCAAAGTAGGGAACCCTATCTCACTGCTTGCTGCTCCTGCTCTCCCAACCTGAGTAGATGCATGTGCCCCACCATGCCAGATACCTGCCTTAGTCCATTGTCAGCCAGTCAGTTGCTAGCAGGATTAGGGTTAGGGTTAGGGTTAGACTACCACCTATGTCCTTCCAGGAAAGGGGCGGAGTAGAAGACATGAACTGTGTGTCCTTTAGCAGGGTGCCAACCCATCACTGGGTTCAATATCATGACTTCCTCCAGCTCTTGTCACCCTTACATACTGGCACAAGTTGGTGCCCTATGATGGGTTTAGGTGTGCAGTACAGTCATGGGGTCTTGGAGCTTGACACTGGCCTGTGTCTCTCTCCCTGTCCACCTGGCCCTTGTACCCTGTGCTCCTGGTCCTGGATAGAGTGGACTGAGCTGGGTGTGGTGGTGTGACAGGGTCAGGACCAGGATGAGGGAGGGTTGTGTGGGCCTTTGTGACACTGAGGTTCACCCACAGGTCGCTCTGGACCATCCTCCTCCTTGTGGTGTTGGCTGTGCTCCTGCTGGTTGGCCTCCTACATACTCATGTCAAGCTGTTACTGCCGTAAGTCCAGTGTGGGGTCCCTGTGCCCTAGGAGAAGTCCCTACCTCTGCAATCCTAAGGGCTGGGCTAGGACTTCATGCTGTCCACTATGGGGCATCAGCACCTGCTGGCAGCCTGTGGCAGGTCACATGTCCCCATTGAGCGTCTATCTCCCATACTGGAGAGGCCAACGGGCCTTCCTGGGAGATGTTAGTGTCCCGGGCCCCCTGAAGAGGTAGCCTGGCCCTCAGTGTGAGGTCAGGGAGGGTGAAGGTCAAACCTGTGCTTTCTTACTGCCAGAATCCCACAAGTAATCTTCCCAGCTGATGGCACTTCTGGCAAGAAGCCCCAACTCTGCATGTGCTCCTGCCCATCCCTTGGTTCCCAGGCCAGTGCAGGGCTCTGGACCTTGCCCTCTGGCATTGGGGTAGGGAGGACCCAGCACCTGTCCACTGTGGCCCCATGTTGGGCTGGCTTCAATTCAGGGCCCTTCTGTCCCAGGATGAAGGCTTGGGGTCAGCTTGGGAATAATGGATGTGTGGTTGAGGTCAGTGGGCCAGTGCTATGTGGGTACCTTGATACCAGGTAGCAGGTTGTAAGTCTGAGAGGTGTTTGAGCTGGCGCATAGCCTGTAGCCTGGGAAATCATCTGTCCCAGTGGGCCTCCTGGGCTGCAGGGTGAGGGGGGCTGTAGACAAGGGCCACAATGATGGGGCTGGGGTTGGGGATTCAGGTTGGGGGTGTGGAGAGAAGGGCTGTCTGGGCATGGTTCTGCAAATGGCACATTGCCAGGGTTGAGCCTTCCTGGGCCCTCCGTCCAGCCAGCTCAGGGCTGAGGTGGAGAGGCCACCTGTTACCAACATCATGTTCCTCAAGACACACAAGACAGCTAGCAGCACAGTGCTCAACATCCTCTACCGCTATGCTGAGATGCACAACCTGTCTGTGGCGCTGCCTGTGGGCCGAAGTTTCCACCTGGGCTTCCCCTGGCTCTTTGTGGCGCATTACGTGGAGGGTGCTCTGCAGGCTGGGCCTCACCCTGGGCCTCCTCGACAATTCAACATCATGTGCAACCACCTGCGGTTCAACCTGCCAGAGGTAGGGTCCTAAGGCTGGGCAAAGTGGGGACTACAGGTTCAGGGTGGCAGAAGCCAGGAAGTAGAGCAGAGTTCTTACTCCAGGCTGCCAGGGGCCTGCATTTGCTCTTGGAATGAGATCCAGCAACCTGCAGTCCTCTGCCTGGCACCGGTAGTTCTGTCTGGTTCCTATGCCTGCAACTCTTTCTGCTCTGGACCTTGGTACCAATACTCTGGTGAGGATGTGCCTCACAGAAATCCCTCCTGGTCATCTGGGTCTCTGCTGAGGGATCAGCTCCTCTGAGGCTCCACTGATTTTCCTTCCAAACAGAATTGTGTGTGTGGTATGACTTGGCACAGGTGCAGCCCAGAACACAGGCTTTCTGGGTGGTGGGCTGCACGGAGGCCTGGACTGGCAGGGCGGGGCTGGGCGGGGAGAGGTGATGCGGGAGGAGAGTAGCACGTGGCTGTGCTGGTGGAGACAGGCAGCCCAGGGGTGTCCTGGACTGTCACCCCAGTGAGTAACATGGGGATCCCTATGGGAAACAGGAGTGAGGAGGAATTCAGATGCCAGAGATCCGCGGGTTGTGCCCGGCCTCCCTGCAGCAGCATGGCTGGCTAGCTGGTTGCCCTGAGGCACGAGGGCATTAGGAGGCTGCTCTCTGTGTACCTGGGCCCCGTCATCTCCGCAAGCCTGTAGCACTTCCCGCTGTGTCTCCACAGGTGCAGAAGATCATGCCCAACGACACCTTCTACTTCTCCATCCTTCGGCACCCGGTCACCCAGCTCGAGTCCTCCTTTATCTACTATAAGAACTGTGCACCTGCTTTCCGCGCTGCTAGCAGCCTGGAAGCCTTCCTGAAGGCGCCGCACCGCTTTTACAACAGCAGTGATGGGCTGGGGAATGTGCATGCGCGCAACAGCATGTGGTTTGACCTGGGCTTCAACAACGATGCTGCTGCTGATGACGCATACGTGCGTGCTCGCCTGGTGGAGGTGGAGCAGCGCTTCCAGTTGGTGCTAATCGCCGAGTACTTTGACGAGTCCATGGTACTGCTGCGGCGCTTACTGCACTGGCAACTGGACGATGTGGTAGCCTTTCGGCTAAACGCGCTCAGCCCGCACAGCGTGGTGCGCCTGTCTCCCCAGGGCCGGGAGCGCGCGCTGAGCTGGAGCGCCCTGGACTGGCGCTTGTACCTGCACTTCAACCGCACTTTCTGGACGCGCGTGCGCGCTGAGCTGGGCCCGCGCCGCCTGCGCGCAGAGGTGGAGCAGCTGCGTGCTCGCCGCCTGGAGCTCCAGACTCTATGTTTGGAGGAAACAGCGCCTCGCAGCGGGGCGAGCATCGCAGACCCGCGGCTGCGCCCCTACAAGCCCGGTGATGCAGACATCCTGGGATATGTCCTGCGGCCGGGGCTGGACAACGCCACGCTACATCTGTGCCAAAGGATGGTGATGCCTGAGCTACAGTACATGGCCCGACTGTACACGCTGCAGTTCCCCCAGAAACCCCGTAAAAGCATACCCTTCCTGGAGAACTAGGGACCTTGGGGCCTGCCCCTTTCCAGCCTTCCTTGGACATCCAGGCCGCAGACCCTCAGACTGACCCACCAGGGGCACAGTCCACCTGTCCCTGAGGTGAGAGGGCTTCCAGGGGATATGCTTGACAGGCAGACTGGGCTGTGGTCCCAAAGGACCTCAGAGCGTTTCCCAGAACTTCCTTGACCCAATGTGGCACTGATTCTCAGGGAAGAACCCAGGACCACTCTCAGAGCTGGACCTGCAAATGGCAGCGTGGTGAGCATTTTATTTCCGAATGCAAACGGTTTAGTTTAGATTTAGAGACCATACCAATGTTATACTAAGATGTTAAAAATTAAAATAATTGATTAAAAGATAGCAAAAATAGTTACTTAAAAAGATAGTTATTAGTAATATTGTCATTCAGTACTGAGCTCATTACCCTAGTCACCAAGCACCAACCACATAGTTATAAATTAACTTACCGCGTAGGTTTGCTGTTCTGTAATGTGTCACCCCCCCCCACATTAGTGACCTGTGTGCTATGTCAACTTTTGTTCCCCTTGTAAGAGACAAATGATGCTGTGTCAACCATTGTTCCCTTCATGAGAGACAAATGTTCCTGGAATTGGCCAACCAAGGGCTATGAATTGGCTAACCACCCACTGTGAAATGCCTCTTATCTCAAGCAAAGGGGAACAAAGGCCCACCTTATTTCTTTTTCCCATCACTATGTACTTAATGATCAATGAGCTAACCATAAATGGACTATAAAAATCAGTCAAAACTAACTCAGTTGCACAGCTTTGCAAATTCCATCTGCACTGTGTCGCTGGGCCAGCTAAAAAGCGCTTCTTTTGAAAAAGACATCTTGCACCATTTGTCATCTTGGGGTCTTGCCCTGTTTTTCATCATGGGGCCCTGTTTTTTGAGTAGAGTACAACATTTGGGGCCTTATCCAGGATTACATGGGGACCCCTCCCCAGATTTTTTTCACTGATTGATTGGCTTGAAACATCTGTAAGTATTTGGATCTTTTGTTCTTTGTAATTTGAGTGCTCACTTTTGAAGTTTCAGAGGAGCTTGGCTGGCTCCTTCTGCACCGGAGCGGGACGCCCTCTGGGACAGGGCTTCTAGCCCAATTGTGATTTGGGATTTTTTATCCATTTGATTTTGTGCTTGGTATGTTTTTACGGTGGAGCCATTTGTTCATTTGAATCTGTTACCTCAATACTAACATTTAGATTTCTTTTTTCTCTGAAACTACTGTTGCAGGTTCCATGCGGCTTATTGGACTTAAGGGTCATAATAAAAATTTATTTCCCTTTAGGTCACTGAACCATGGACAAAAAATCCTTTGTTTGTGTCTTTAATGTTGGTCTTGTCTTTTGTGGCACCTTGTTTAATGTTTTAGTCCTCATCTGATTATGTACAACCTTGGCATGCCTTTAATAGTATTTTTCTGGATAAAATGTAAATATATAACAATACATATATATATATATATATATACACATATATATATATATATATATATATATATATATATATGTTTATGGTTTTTAAAATCATATTGGCTTTACCAAATAAAGCCAGGTCATACTGTTATTGAGCCAGTTTAAAAAGTTACAGTTTTTAAAGTATAACTTTTAAAGGTGGTAAAAAGACATAAAATGATTTAATATATTTTAGACTACCAAGAAAGTCACTTGAAGGATTTTGTTAAAAATTTTAATGTTCTCTAAAAAGCTAAAAAAGGGTAATTGACTGGTAATAAACAGAAACAGAAAAACAGATAAACAAATGTGTTCAGAATTTGACAGCCTTGGATCAGGAAACCTTTACTGCAAAATGTTTCCATTAAAATGAGATTATATTCTAAAAAGGTGAGGACAAACTGGAGCCCTTTGTCATCCTAAGTTTATATAATGATAAAAAGTCAGTGTTGACCATATATAAAATATATTTGCCTATGAAAATAAAAATTAAAAGGACTGTAATTCTCAGTCCCATCCAGACTAGAAGCCATCAGTGTTCAGAATTGCTGGACTCCTCTTCCTCACCCCCCTTTTTCTAAGGACCCTCGGGGCCTCATTTCTCTTTTGAAATTTGTCTTCTCCATTCATCACCCCACTTGGGATGACTGCCAGCAGATTTTGCAGGTTTTGTTTACAGTAAAAGAGAAAAAAAACCATTCATGTTTTGGGATAAAAAACAAGTGTACATTCCAAATAGTTGTGTTTTCCCTTTGTCCCACCCTGATCGGACAACCAGAGGTAAAAAGGCTCTCCTTCAGTATCGCCAGTTGTTCTCAAAAGCCTTTAAGGGCTGCCAGAAAACCCACCAATTTGTCCAAGGTAGCAGAGGTGAGACAATTGGATGATAAGTCTCCCTCAGGGTTTCTGGAGAGATTGCTAGAGGCCTATTACATTTGTACACCTTTAGATCTGGTAGCACCTAAAAAGACAAGGGCATTAATAATACCTTTGTATCTGTTGGCACCTGATATTAAGCGAAAGTTGCAAAGACTTGAGAGATTTAAAAAAATGCCCCTCAGTTAGTTATTAGAGTTTGCTTAAAACTGACTCTTTCCTCCCAGCTGATATAAGCCATTCAACAGATTCCAGTTCCTGTGACTAAAAAGCAAGTATAAAAATTTCTAGGAACCATAGGATATTGCCTGCCTTAGATTACAGACTCATGAGACCAGGCTTTTCAGCAATTAAAATCAGCCTTAACAAAAGCTCCAGTTCTGGCTCTGTCAAAGTTGCAAAAACCTCTTTCTCTCTATGTTGATAAAAAACAAGGGATAACAAAAGGAGTACTGACCCAGAGTTTAGGACCATGGCAAAGGCCTATTGCCTATCTTTCCAAGAAACTTGATAATGTGGCAGCCCAATGGCTGCTTTGCCTGAAGATGATTGCCTCAGTGGCCCTCCTGGTAAAAATGGCCCAAAAGGTGACATTTGGACAAAAACTTTTAATTATCTCCTCTCATTCACTGGAGATTCTCATCAAAGCTTCACTGGATGGATGGCTGCCTTCAGGCATTACTTCTGGATCTGACTACCATCAGTTTCAAGGGGACAGTGTCTTTAAACCCAGATACTCAGCTGCCTGATGATGACCTCTCCTTGCCCCTCTGATCATTTCATGGGGCTTCGACCAGACTTGACAGATGAACCACTCTCCGGAGTTCCATCATATTTCTCTGATGGAAGCAGTCACATCTATCAAGGTAAGCAGATCATGGGAGCCGCTGTTACAGACTCTCAGATTCTATGGGAACAAACCTTGGAGCCAAAAACATCAGCGCAATGGGCTGAATTCATTGCCCTCACTGAGGCCCTCAAGTTGTCAGACTGATAGCAGATATGCATTTGCTACTAGCCATGTTCATAGGGCCATTTATCAGGAATGAGTTTCCTTGACTTAAGGTGGCCAAAAGATAAAAATAAATTTTGGATTTGTTAGCTGCCATTTGGATGCCAAGAAATATGGCTATTAAATAATCTAACAGACACAGCTACCCAAAGAGCAGCCACAAAATCAGTGGGGATTGAGACAATCCCAGCATTGCTACTGATTCCACCCACTCTGTCAAAGCCCTTTTGCACTCAAAAAGACTTACATTTGGCAGCTCAACTCCAAACAAAGTCTGATATCCCTGGGGGCTGGTACCAACTGCCTGATAATTGAGTCCTCCTCCTCGAGGCCTTAAGATAAAAACTCATCCAACAAGCTCATTAGTCCACTCACATGGGAGGATCAAAACTCACTGCTCTTTTTGAGATCATTTCTTTATCCCTCAGTTATTGAAGCTTACTCAGTCTGTGAGCCTTAGAGGCCCTCAGTGCCAGTTGGTAAACCCTAAGCAACCACAACAAATGGAAACCACTTGGTATCGTGGGACTATGCCTAAAAAACATTGAAAAATAGAGTTCACAAAAATAAAAAAGCCTGGACCTTAAGGAAATGAGTACTGGTAGATAGCTTTTCCAACTAAGTCTTGAGTCAGCCCTGATAACAGTTTCCCCAATTTGGCCTTCCTTTATCCATGGGGTCTGACAATGGCCCAGCTTTTATAGCCCAGATAACTCAAAAACTAACCCAAGCCTTGCAGATTGATTAAAAACTCCATTGTGCTTACTGGCCTTAAAGTTCAGAACAAGTAAAAAGGATAAACCAGACTTTAAAAATGATAATAACTAAGATGGCATTGAAAACTGGTGAGAACTGGGTGAGTCTCCTTCCTTTTGCCCTCTTGCATGCACAACGTACCCCCTATGTTACAGTTGTTTCCCCTTTAAAGTTCTATGTGGGAGACCTCCTCCTCTTATTCCTAAGATTTCTGAAAAAAAAAATTAGCTGATCTGGCGAATCAAGATCTTGTTAAGTTCCTGCAGGCCCTTCATCTAGCTCTGCCTTCCATCCGCCAGTTATTCCGAGAACAACAACCTCTGCCTACAGTCCATCCTGAGGATAAACGTCCTGCAGTAAAACCTAGGACACTACTCATCAAGAGACATCACCATGAGTCTCTCAAACCATGGTAAAAAAACCCTTACACCATGGTCCTCAACACTCTGACTGCTGTCAAAGTCACGAAAAAGCCTGCCTTGATTCATCATTGCCACTTCAAGCCAGTTCTGGCCTCTGACAGTGATCAACCTACAGATAAGTGGACTGTTGTTCCCTCCAAGGATTCTTTAAAGCTTAAGATTGCCAAATGTATCTGATAATCTTGTTCTTAAGTGTTATTCCTTATGGAGACCCCAAGGAGATACCTTGTAACCCACTGTTTAAAACTTAAAATTACTGACTGTTTTACTGTTAAATTATTGGTAGCCAATGCTACTTTCTATGAGATAATTAAGATAGATTTATGTTCCCTATTAGATAACATCCCAGCAAAAATTAGACAAAAAAATGTTGTTGGGTTTGCATGTCATGCTGCCTGATTGGTTGCTAATGGAGACTTACAGGGACGTATGTATTAAAAAAAAATTACAGTCCACTGGCTGGTATCTTTGTCCCCAAAAGAAACAGCCAGCCTCTGATCATAGATATTCACAGTCCATAGAGACGAAATATTTTTGTAGACATTGGGGTTGTAAATTTATATCTCCTTGACAAAAAAATAAAGGAGGTCGTTACCTTTTTCCTCACTCTAGAGACCCAATCTTCTGTTCTCCTCCATTAGACTTCCTGCTCCTGAGACCTTTTTGCCCTTTGCGATTTCTGGGACATCTCTAGCCCCTTCTTGCCTCTGGACATTGCTTATGACAAATCAACTTTTAAATTCCTGTATAGATGACACCTTTTGTTGGTGGGATGCTAAGCCCCTGCTCACACTAGACAATGTACAGGGTGCTCCAGAAACCTGTGTTTACTCTGCCTCCTACTCCTTACACACTTCCCCTTATGCTACACTCTGTAATCCTACCTCTTCAGCTTTGATTTATACTTTTTCCTATCCTACTAATCAACACTTTGTTGCTCCCAATGGAGCCTGGTTTGCCTGTACTTCTAATATAACTCCTTGTTCCATACATCACCTGTTCACCCAGTGCCCTGAGCTTTACATATTAGTCCATATCTTTCCCCAAGTGTATTGGTACTCTAGAGATAATGGTAAGAGTCACTTGTTCCCTAGCTTTGACTTAAAGAGTCCAGTATAACAAGGTCAATAGGTTTAAGAGTGTCCAGCCTAATAGTCAAAAGACCAAAATTATAGACACTTATATGCACTCATTGACCAAGATTTCACAGCCCTTGGTGACTCTGTCTCCAAATCAGATGATACTTTAAGTTCACTGACTGAGATGGTTTTACAAAATCGGCGGGGTCTAGATCTCCTGTTCCTAAAGGAAAGAGGCCTTTTTCTGACATTAGAAAAAAATTGTTGTTTGTATGCCAATCATTCTGGGGTTATCAGACAAAGTATGGCCAGCCTTAAAAGGCAGCTACAGGCAAAAACAAGGTAAAGGCAAAAACAAGCCAGACAAGCTAAACAAAACTGGTTTGAGCAATGGATTTCTCTATCTCCCTGGTTGACAACATTAATCATAGCAGCCTCCAGACCTCTGTTATTCTCACTTACTTGTTTAACAATTGGACCTTGCATTATAAACAGATTAGTAAATTATGTCAAAGACCAGGTTCAAACAATAAAACTCATGGTTTTAAGGACACAAGTTTATGAACAAATACCACTGCTTATAAATTCCATGAGCCAATGATTTGGTTCACTGACAAAAATCAGTGGGGAATGCTATACTAAGATGCTAAAAATTAAAATAATTGATTAAAAGA